ACGATTCCATGGACCCCAAGACCCGACCTTCAAAGAGTCATGCTGGAGGGCTTCCTCTGGCGGGAAAAGATCTGGTGATGGTGCACTGCACATTTGCGCTGCACAGCACATAGCACATACAGCACACAGCACGAGCGAACAGGCTTTGATGCAGCGCATCGTGCCACATGGGATGCTCAACAGGTGTCGATCATTGGCCGCCCGCACGCAGAAAGACTAGACCCTGAGGCATGGTCCGTGCGCATGTGGTTGCGGACCAGCACTCGCTCGCTACAGTGAACGAATGACATGGGAAAGTCTCATGGGCAGGCTTGGCAGGCCAGCAGCGGGAAGACGTTGATCCATCCCAGCAATGTGCATCCATCCGTCATTCAGCGGAAGGGAACCAACGCGCCGCCTCACCAACTGGACTTGGACTGTGCGTTTCGCCTGCGCCACAGCATTCGAGCTTCTTGCTTTGGGACAAACCACGACACGATAGATGCTGAGTGTCGTGGGCTTGAAATTAATTCTGTGCGGAGCTTTCGGAAACCTGTCCTGTATCGTTGCTCCTGGTACTTCCTCCACCAGTACCGAATCATGTGCCTGCTTTGTGCCCAGCCTTGCCAGCCTGCTGCCTCGACCTTGACCCGTGGCTGAGCCCCACAGCAGCCACCTGGCGAAAGGCCACACATCCAACCCAAGCTCCCACCGAGTCGGTCGGCTGGTCTTGTCGCCTGCTTCCAACTTCAAAGCTCCCTCTCGAGAGCTTCCTTTCCCCCATCTCCATCCCACCTCGACAACAGCATCACCAGAACCCCGCCCTCTCCTATTTCTCTCCTCCCCCACAGCTCTTCCTCGAGGAGCGGAGCGACACCCTCCGCATACGTCGACTCTTCTCACCAAAGCGGCGTCTCTTTCCCACTCGCCCCCCCCCCCTCTCTCCCCTCCTCTCGCCGGCTCCTATCATGTCCGCACCCCACGACGGCTACGGCCAACAGCCCTACACCGATGAACCACAGCAGGGCTTCGAAGGCCAATCCGAGGCGCCTCACGCTCAAGCAGCCGACCATGCCAAGAAGAAGAAGCGAGGATACGCCTCCCAGGCCTACGAGTTTGGCGCTGGCGCAAATACCGGTGTAGCTGGCCAGGTCCCCGCCGCCGGCCCCCAGCAGTATGGCATCCCCTCCCAGCCTCAGACGCCAGCCTACGCCGCCGCCGGCTACCCTGGACAGGATCCCTCGCAGCAGCTGCAGCAGCAGCAGCCTGGTGTTCCTCAGTACGGTGCTGGCGCTCCCGCCTACGGCGCCCCCCAGCCTCTTGCGCCCCAGCCCGGCGCTCCTCAGCCCGCCGCCTACGGATACCAGGCTCCGGATGTTGGCTATCCCGGCCCCGGCCAGGGCGCCCCCGCTCCCAATGCGCCTGGCGTCGCCGGCATCAACCAGCAGATGGCCGGCATGAACCTCGGGCCCGGCGGACAGTCTCAACCCCAGCCCGCCCAGGCCGCCCGCCCCGTGGCTCTGAACCAGCTCTACCCCACTGACCTCCTGAACCAGCCCTTCAACGTCTCCGAGCTGGATCTGCCGCCACCTCCCATCATCCTGCCCCCCAACGTGAGTCTCACACCCTCTCGCTCCTCTCCTCCGTGTCACAGCGGCTCCTAACAGCCAACCTTTCTCCCAGTCGAGCGTCACACCTTCGCCTCACGCCAACTGCTCGCCTCAATATGTTCGCTCTACGCTGAACGCCGTCCCCACGACACACTCTCTTCTGAAGAAGTCGCGCCTTCCGTCTCTCTCATCATCCAGCCGTACG